GTAAAATACATCAAATTTACAATAATTACTCTCAGTTTGGTACCTACATTACTTACTAAATTGATCAAGCATAATATACTTCACACTCCAATCACCCAGATTGCAGTATATGCATTAAAAACATTTATTAGTATTATTAAAAACGTTTACAAAATTCCAAGAGTACAAAAATCAAATGAACGTGATAAAAATGGAAATGAAAATATTTTAAATGAGTTGTATCATTTCACGTTAATTCTCCCAAAAAGGTTTTCCCGGAATATTAATTCTCCCAATTTTAGCAACCCTTTAAATTCATTTTCAAATGCATTGATATTCAACACGTTCATAAGCGTTACCACCACAGGCATCCCTGGCTCGCAGGGTTTCCAAAAACTGTTGAATTTCGGCAACCTTCGTCCAAGACCGACTACAGAGGCTGCAGTTGGCTCCTTTAAAACTACTTCTCCGTTCCCGTTTCCGTAACGGCTTTCCACGCTCCGAAGGCCCGCCACGCGGGTACCACGCCGCATATCGATTTCAGGGACAGCGGCGGCATTTCGCCGAGGTCGCGGCGGCGGCGGCGGCGGCGGCGGCGGCGGCGGCGGCGACGCGTGCTCCGGAGAGCGTTGACGCACCCAGCCGGGAAGCGTTCGACCTGTACGCGTCGCGTAGCTACGGCGACAACGGCCTCGCAGCCTCCGACAAGCACACACGAAGCGGTCAGTAGATTCGACGAAACACAGCTCCCAGTACTGCTCTTAAGCTCCATGCAAAGGCGTAAGTTACGAACTTCGAACGCCCCATTAGAATAGGGGTTCTTCTGCGATTCAATTACATATGACGAAAAAATATTGACAATCATTTTTAATTTCGTTAATAAGGTCGCCTTGCATTTGGGGAAAAACTATTTCAAGCTTATTTACATTTCTCATATCTAGGGGCCGGAATATGATTACCTAAAACATAACCAAAAATGATCAATAAAATGCTCTTAAAATGTTTTTGAAAGTCCCTAAAAACACGAAAAATAACGTTATTTCTTTTTTTTATCAAAACCACTTCAGATGAACAACTCAAACTGTTGCGTAAGTTACTGATGTAGTAGAGGCTTCTTCCTTTTGTTCAAGTGAACTCAGCCTGCAAACTTTTGATTTGGATTGTTCTTTAAAAGAAAATCTATGCCTTTATTTATCGCCAAATCGGCCGAATTGACAATGGCGCCGATAGGCGTCAAAGGAATCTTAAATTACGTAGCACTCAACTGCTGGCATTGCATATGTGAGCGAAGAAATCGAATAGGCTACTCAGGAATTTTGTGATGAACATTCGTGGCATCTCGTAAGTATTGTTTGAAGCAAGTACCATTAAAACATTAAAATAGTCGAAATCAGCGAAAAATGCATTAAAAATTACGTAAAACGCTAAAAAATGACTTATTAGTCGAAATCGACTAAAAATGCAAAACATTACATAAAAATAGGTAATTTCGTTTTGTGATAACATGAAATGAATTTCTATACTAAACGGCAATGTTCTATAGTAAAAAAAAAAAGATAGCGTTTCATTAAAATCCGGCCCTTACTCATAGAGTGTATAATGCAGAGTTGGAACAAATTTTCAAAACTTGGAAGTATCAGTGGCTTACAACTGGATCCAGGAGCCTTACTTTTCACGTCATGGATGATTTCTCTGCGATAGGGAGGTAACATTGCTTAATAGTTAACAATATTAACAGGGTAATAGAACAGCGTCCAAAACAAATCTCAGGAGAATTTCTAGAAATTACCACATTGGCGGTTAGTGGTAAATACATAAGCCAAAGAATAATTCGAAAAGATGTAATTTACCTTAGCACGCACTGGTAAGTATGAAAATACTGTAAGTATGGACTTTTTGATGGTGTTATTTTCTTTTATAACTCGATGGAGTACATTTTGATTCATCATATATTAAACCCTAACCTACTCGTTTCCTCAATGAGAGAAAGAGGGTGACTTGACAAACATAGGCATCCTACTTTTTTTCATACCAAACTAATGTCATTACTATAAATAACAATGCGAAATATTTGGAGTTCTGTAAAACTAACATCATATCGCTCAAATATTTTATTTTGAATAATAAAGTATTTCAGATATTTAATAATAAAATTTCAAATGAGACACATTTTTTTCAAAGCAACTTCATTGTTTTATTTGTTTGAATTATGCTACGAAAACATATGGCATGTTTTAAAATCTAGCACCATTCGGCCACTACAAGGTTTGGAAACCACTGACTGAGATGGCCATACGAACACACATTTAGTCGTGGCCTTTCCAGTGCCCGCGCACTTGTACGGCTGTTTTAAGAGTTCGCTCAGGTCTCTGTTGATGGTGGTTGTTTTTTTTCTTCCTTTTTTTCCTTTGTATCCAGGAATGCAGGGAAGGTCGAAAACTACTCGTCTTCGAGGCAGAGGTACCGGGGATTTAAACTCCTTATCAAGCGTTTAAACTTCTTGCTGCTGCATGATGTGAATGCAAGAAGAGAAACTACGTACTAGCCAAAAACATTTTTTGGACTTTTTAACACGACAATCCTACCGACAAAGACAATAACGTCGATCAGTTGAAAATACAAGTTGAAAACCGATGTAGGTTAGCTCAAAAGCTGAAGTCACAAGCTCAAAAGCCCGCGCCGCCTAAAACACGAATTGGGGAATT